CAATAATATGTACAACCTAGATGTAAGACCGATACCGTGATTGACGGCGTATGTTATACATCCTGATCACAAATAGTCGCAGGTCAAGTTTGGAAAAACAAACTCAGGTTGGAGTGGCTGTTACTGGCAGCTGCCTGAACCTTGATGGATTAGCATGCTCATATGGCACTGTTCACGGCATGGCCCGTTAATCTGTACAAAAAAGATGAGGTTTATAGGGAACAAGGTAGACTCGTAACCGTCGTTGTATGAGGGACAAACCTCGATACAATGACTGAGTTTTAATTATCGTGTCACTACAATGTGATCGAAAGAGATTACAAATCACTTTAGAATGATCTTATCAATAGTGTCCTAATTGGGAAGACGCAAACTCGCGGAGAAATTTCAACGTTTCAACGCCCACCCTTGTCCTACGCTCTCGCCCGGTACTAGGCCAATGTATTGTGTATTCTATACATATAGCATACCACTCTCTGGTCAACAAGGATTCTTCAGCCCCAATTTGCAGTTCATTCTGATACCCTACCAAGCTGCAAGCCCCGAATACAGAAAGAAAGACTACATGCATCCATGAAAAGCTAATACCTCGGCAGCCATGAGGCGTAGAGGATCGATAGAAGAGGTGGTTGCGAAACCCGTTTCGCGCATTGTTCCTGCTTATTCCCAATTAGGATGTTATTCTCTTTAGGAAGGCCAGATCACGTTCCTCTCGTTAACTTAATGACACGATAATTTAGAGAGTCAGCTGTAACCGGTCCCTTTATCGAGACTTGTCTCTCATAGAGGGAATGGTCACCGGTCTAGGAACAAGGGTGGGTTTGTATAAATAGAAAACAAGAGCCGAAGGAGAGGCTAGGTGAGGACCACGGTCAAGCCTCGATCATGGGGAATGAAAGAAAAGTAGCCCAAGCAAGCCTCATCAAAATCTGATCAATACTCTTGGACCTCAAGATTCTATCCTTCCATTTGGTTAGGGCATTGATAGTGTAGCGGTTATCATCGAGTCTTCCCATGTAGCCTACAATGGCATACGGGACTTGGCTTGGACCCGGGTTCGACTCCCGGTCAATGCAAATGTAGTGTATGATCTTTTGGAGATAAGCAGCTGTTTTTATCATCCTTTTTCTCCTTCTGCCCTGCGATGGCAAATGTCGAGAACTGGTTTACTATTAGTGGGCCACTTTTGCACGACTCCGCTCATATGTTCAAATTTAACAAATGGGCCCGGGAATGGTTCGGAGTTGTATCTTCTACTGCTAATTTGTCGCGGATACATGAATACATACTCAGTAAATAGCTTGAGGTATTTTAAAAAAACAGATAAATCAAGAATCAAGTCCACAACGATATGAAATTATACAGATCCATCAATCCAAGCCCACCTTCCTCCTCTCCAGCTCAACAACCATATCCACCACACGATCCCTCGCATCTTCAAGGGCCTCACTCTCCTCAAAGATCCTGCTCCCCAACGCCCTTCTCAACCTCGCCACATCGCTTGTGTCCTTGCCCTTGCCCTCCCGTCCAGGGCTAGGCGGTGGGCTCATCAGCGCCGAAGCCCCGTTGCCCGCAGATCCGAAGGAGAACACCCGACGATAGAGAACCAGCACGGTCGCTAGCACTTCCGCCGCATCGTCCTCCTCCTCACTCCCGCTCTCATATTCCTTGGCGACGTCCTCGGTGACCGACCCAGACGGAACCTTCCACAGCCTCTCTAGGCGCCGTCCAAGTTCTCCAGCCATGCCTCCAAGCTCCTTCGCAGCCTCGATCGTCCGCCTCCTTTCCTTAACCTCCTTGCCCCTTTCCTCGGCATCCACATCCTCTTCCCCGCGGACGCTCCCGACAAACAGTAAGCCTAAATGCTTGCCAACGCGCTCGCGTACAACTGCTGAAGCCAGAACTCGGATAGGTTTGCCGAGCTCCCCATCTTCGCCGTCACCCACATAGTTGTTAATAGTTCTGGCGTCGAGTTTTGCGGACGCATCGTCCACACTCAGCTCCTCCAGCACCAAGCGCTCATACGCTTTAGCACCTTTGATGCGAATACTGCTCCAGACGGCCCTCGCTCTGGCGCGCGCAAGCCCACCAATAAATGTTCCAGAGCCGTGCAGAGTGAGCGCAGCAGTGCAAAGATCTGCTGCGGCCAAAGTGGGGATGGAAGTGATGTTGTAGTATGCTTGCAGCCTGGAGATGAGAGGTAGCGTAGATTCGGAAGTGTTATCTGTGAACGCCAAATGAGATGAGCTCGGTTCAAAAATGGAATACGGATCCACAAACCTGAAAGAACATATGTCTCGCCTAGACGGAGCCAGTCCACTGGCGTTTTCTGCTCCTTCTTTCGAAGGATCGAGAATATCGACGACCTGGACTTGCCAAAGAAGCCAAAGCCCCCAAGCCAGTTCGAAATGCAGCTGAGGAACACGATGATGGACACGAGGAGGTGGAATATTTGCAAATAATACGACAGGCCCCAGTTCCCCGCAACATCGGTGACATGGGGTACAGAAGACCCATTTAGAACTGTCCCTGTGTGTACATGTGTAGGTGCGGCGGTAGAAGATGGGGAGGTAAGGGGGGAGTTGAAGAAGGAGAACAAGGCGAATGTGGCAAGCAGGTATTGCTGCTGACTCGCCTGCGGCTGTTCCTGCTCCATGGGGGCGGCAGTAGGTAGTTGGGGAACGGGTAGGGGAACGACCTTTCTTGGGCGTCCACGCTTACGTTTCTCAGGAACCTGACCTTCCGGGCCCAAAACAATTTTCTTCTCCTTCTTCTCCACCTTCACAGGCACGACTCCGTCTTGCGCCAGAGGCATCGTCTTCCCTCTCTTCCTCTTCCTCCCACCTTCCTCGTCATCATCATCATCCAAGTCGTCTTCCTCGTCATCCCCGTCGGCTTCAACCTCACCCTCGACTTCATCCTTCTCCTCACCACCAAACACCGCTTTCCACTCCCTCTCCCATTCCTTGAGGAGAGCCGGTCCACCAACGAGCCCTATAACGAGACTCTTAAGACCTGCTTGCTCCGCCTTCAGCCTCCCTTCTCTCTTCTTCAGCACCCGAATGTACTCCACCGCCTTGCCCAAGACATTCGCTTTGCTGCACTTCCGTGCCACCTTGACACCATCAACGAAGCCTCGCTCGTCAATCACATCTTCGCCTCCGGCCTTGAGCGGGTCCCCAGAGACGAGCACCTTGTTCGGAGCACGCTTCTTGTTGGCATCGCGGTCGTCGACGACACGTAGAGCGGGTACTGCCATGCGCAGGCTTTGGATGCGTGCATTGAGGTTTGTGCGGTATCGTCGCTCGATCGTGGTGTGGCTTGTCTTGAGCCGTGGTACGGGAGCAGAGGGTGCAAGGGTTGGCGGTGAAGGAGCAGAGGGTGTTGTGGGTGGTGGAGTTGAGGCTGCGGAAGAGACAGACGAGCTTGAAGGGATGGATTGGGAGGAAGGCCGCGGCAGACGGGGTATAGGAAGCTTGGGAGCAGCGGCCGGGCTCGTTGGGGCTGTGCATTCTCTAGTTAGCTCATTGTGGATATCGCTCAAGTGTCGAAGGATGTACCTATGTTTTCAGCCTGTTGTTGGTTCTCAAAGGCTTGAAGTTGGGCAGTCATGGGGAGGGCAAGCATCACTCCTGCTGACTGGCGAACCCGCTCAGCGAGCTGTGCAACTAGATCCGAGGCTGCAGGGACTGCGCTAGTCTGCTCAGAAGCAGCGGAGTAGTTGGCCACGAATTCGGTGCGCTTTGCGGTGTTTGGGCTAGGCGCCGACTCCGGAGCGGGCGAGAATGAAGCGCCAGAAGACGAAACCGATGAAGAAATGCTCAATCTCCGGCCGCTGACAGAGGATTGCAAAGAGGATGAATCTGAAGGAGAGCTGGGGTCGTGCTGGAATGTGAAGGGAAATTGAGCGGCGGCAAATTCGCTCACATACGATGCCGTATGAGCGTCAAAACCATAATTCTGATTGAAGTTGTTGTACTGCAATGCACTGGGCTCTACGGCGATTGCATTGATGTAATCCATATCCATAGACAGAGATGTAAGGTCGTTGAAGTCCATTTCCCCGTACGGTTTCATCTGGGTATTAAAGTCTGTGTCTGGCCACACGGAAGACGTCTGACTGAAGTCCACTGTTCCCGACTCATCCATGGAAGCCGAGTTATTCAAAAGAAAATTGAGTGGGTCTGAGGCATCGAGGGAGAGGTCAGAGGCCATCAGGCGGGGTGAATATGATGAGTGCGAGTCTGAGCTGGACGACGCCGGGGACGGCGAGGAAAAAGCCATTCAGACTGCAGAGATGATGGCGGCGAAAAGGAAAGAAGGCTATATTCGATTTTTGACCGCCAAGGTAAGTGGTCTGACTTGAAATGATCAGGTCATTTATTTCCGTCACATGACCTCGACGCGTCGTCGCGGCGTCCATTTTCAGCTCAAATCGTTCGTTTTTGGCTCGCATCGTCGCAGAATTGCCCCCATGAGCCCTTTATCATTCGGTAAATCAGAATAAAAGCTATCCAATGGCTAGAATTCAATTAAATCGGCCCAGATTTTTTCCCTTATGTAACCCATCACGGCGGGTGTGATCACTAAAAGTTCTTTTAGCAGTGGAACTCACATTGCTCGCCAATGTCATTAAGCAAGTCCATTATCTGTTCTTTATAATGTGGTCTATGCTAACCGTTGCGCCTCAGATTTTAGCCTGTTTGGCGGCGCAGACTCCCTCACTGAGGGTAAACGGGCTCCCCGACGCACGTTCGCTGCCACGAACGACAAGGGTGATGCCAGCGTATACCCAGCCCCGCCCCAGGACCCCTCCGACTTCCTATGGCTCATGACAGAGGAACCCCATCGCACGAGGCGCATGGCCATCATGAAAGCTCACCCAGAGGTTGGTCCCATTCCTTCACGACGTAATATAATTATATGATTTATCCGTTATCATAGGTCACCAAACTCATGGGCTATGAGCCTCTCACCAAATACATCGTCCTCGCTGTCGTATCTCTCCAAATATACCTCTCAATATATCTGCGGTACACCTCCCCATTCTCCCCCTGGTTCATCTTCATCGCATACATGATAGGCGGAACAGCAAACCACAATCTTTTCCTCGCGATCCACGAAATTACCCACAATCTCGCCTTCCCTGGCGTTGCACCCAACAGGCTCCTCGCAATCTTCGCGAACTTACCCATCGGTATACCCTACTCCGCCGCCTTCAAAGGATACCACATAGAGCACCACAAATTCATGGGCCAGGACGGTATCGACACAGACCTCCCCACGCGTTTCGAGCTGCTGTTCCTTAACAACGTTTTGGGCAAGGTCTTCTTTGCGTACGTTTGCTGGAAATTTTTAACTTTTAGTGCATTCTAACTTACATCATCTTCTTTCTCTCCAATTAGTACCTTCCAGATCCTCTTCTACGCCCTCCGCCCAGGCTTCGTCCGTGCACAACGTCTAACAAAGTGGCACTTCCTCAACCTCGCTGTCCAGCTCGTCTTCGACTACATTCTTGTGTCGACGTTCGGCGTGCGCCCGCTTGTCTACCTCATCATGAGCAGCTTCTTCGCAGGAAGCCTCCACCCTTGTGCAGGTCACTTCATCGCAGAGCATTACTTGTGGGATGGCATGGAACAAGAGACATTCAGCTATTATGGCCCGCTTAACATCCTTGCTTACAATGTGCGTTGCCTGTCCCTTGTTCCTGTTACCCCTGCCTCCTGGTGCTTTCCTGATCCCCCAACAAATATATTATCATAATGCCCCAATCTCTTTTTCCCACTTACCGTTTAATTCATCAATTGGGCTGACCCTGCTATATTACCACATAGGTCGGATACCACAACGAGCATCACGACTTCCCTTCGATCCCCTGGTCGCGCCTCCCCGCCCTTCGTGCCCTCGCACCCGAATTCTACGATACCATCCCCTCACACCCCTCATGGCCCATGGTCACGATCAACTTCATCCGCGACAATGAGGTCGGAATTTTCGCGCGTGCGAAGAGGCTGGCAAAGGCCAAGGTGACAGAGCAGGAGAAGGAGATGGGGAAGCAGGTCAATGGGATAGAGGA